CGCCACCCTGCTCTGGCCTCGCATCCAATAAGGTGACATATTCATCTGCCAAGATGGATGAGGAGGGGGCACCGGTGGGAAGGCAGATCCATGGTGGGGGGGGGGGGGGGCATGCAGATCCCAGAGAGGAAGAGGAGAAGAGAGAAAATACACATGAGCAAAGAAGAACCTGAGAATCAGACCAGGACATCAAAGAAGGAAACAGAAGATTAGAATGAGAAGGGAGGAAAGAAAGAATGCGGGATGAGGATGGAGGAGGGGGACACAGTCCCAGCATCAGGGACAGGAAGAGATAAAATAAAGAAGAGAGGAGGAGTGAAATTGAGAAAAATGAAATGAAAAGTGGTGCGGGGTGGGGGGCGAAAATAAAATGACGAAGGAGGGAGTAGAGGAAAGAAAAATGAATGCCCCAGAATGGAATACACGGAAAGCAGGGGGGAGAGACGACCATAAAGAAAGACAAAGGAGGGCAAGGGAGTGAAACTGCTTGACTCAGGTGGAAAGGATGATCCTGGAGAGGTGAAGAACGTGACTCGCCTGAGGGCCCGTGTTCCCTCCAGGCCATTCCGGGCGCTGCGTATCAGGGGCTGCTCCGGAGACCCTGGGCTGCGGGCCGGGTCGGGGAGGCGCAGGGGTGGGGTCAGGGAGCGAGCAGCCCTGTGGCCAGCCTTGCGCCCCTCCTTGGGCAGCCAGGCCCACCGTGGGGTGCGGGGACCTGGCTGGGGACCCGCCATCCTGCGCATCGCGGTCGCCGGTAACCACGGCCATTCCTGCGGCCTTTCCCTCGCTGACGGCAAAAGTTGGCAAACTTTCTCCTAGTTTCCCTGTCGCGCCTCCGGACCCAGGGAAGAGCTCTGAGGCCGATGGGGAACAGCAGCCCGTTCTGGGGTGGCTCTGGAGGCCCCAGCCGCGCCTCCTGGGATACCCGGGTCCGGGTTCCTGGCCAGATGCAAATCCCTCCCGCTGGGACACCAGGCCACGCATTCGGGCGTCCCTGCGGCCGCTAATAGTGGAGAGAGAGAATGCGGAAGAGAGGGGAAGAGAGAAGGAAAAAAAAAATATTCTCAGCTCAATTTAAGTCTCATGGAAAGGGCTTACAACTGTAATTAAATCATTAAATTCTTGTCTACGCTTCACAGAGCGGAGAGAAATTAACTTCCCACCAACCTCATTTTCTATTTGAACATGAAATAATGATTTTCTGCCCGTCTAATTACAAAGCCAACATCTGATCAAGCCAGCATCCAGAGGGGATTATCGCATGCACGAGTATTAGACCTCATTACCAGCTTGAGTGCAAAATTATTACATCTTGTAATTGGATGGTGAGATTTATATACAGATCGGCCCGGTTTCTGTAAGATTGTAATTACAAGCTTCGTTGGTTAGCTACTTATCAGAACTTTGCAGGAAAACAAAACAAATGACTGAGGAAAACGAGCATTTCATTAACCTGTAACCCGAGCGCGGGGGGAGGGAGCGGTGGGAGCGTGCGCCGGCGTCGGCAGGAAGCCGAGGGATCGCCGGGCCGCCCCGCAGCCCGGGGATCTCAGGCCCGGGAGGGAAGGACACAAGACCGGCTTAGGCGGGGAGAGCTGGGGCTGCAGCCGGCGCCCCTCGGGGCTGGGTGAAAAGGGGACAGAAAGTTGACTAGGTAACTCTGGGCTCGTACGCAGATGTGCGGCGCAGTCCCCAGAGCCCTGGGTTTACGTCGGGATTCCGCTGCGCAAACAGCCAGCACTACTGCGTGCACCAAGCGTTGCTCTGGACCCCGTCTGGGTGCGCTCTCCGCATCCTGGGCCACGGTGAGTGAGCCTCTACTGCAAGCCTCCGAAGCTTTTTTGTGAGGTGGGAGCACTGGAAGAAGGCGAGCGGATGGAGAAGCTTTTGCGTGCCATGCGTTTGTGCGCGCAAGCCTTTCCCCAGTCAGCTTCCGAGTGCACCTGCTTTTCCTCCCTGCGCCGTGTGCCACTTTGACCCCATCTCTTGGATTAAAAATCCCTGGAAAAGTTTCGGCTGTGCTCGGGCTGCCAAGTTTAATCTGGAGCCAGGCTCCACTACCCCGGTGGAGCTGGGGAGCCAGCGCCACGTCGGGGCTCCGCTGCCTAGGACGCTGACCTCCAATGTGGGGCTCGGATTGTCCAGGCTGGGGCAAGGGTGGGCGCAGCTGAAGACCAGGGTAGCGGAGTGACCGCTTCTGCTTGGAACCTGGGCGCCTGGAGAGATCTAATTAATCGAGGTTCTTGGGTCCCTATCTTGTTCTAGGTCTGGGGATTCACCCTCTGGGCCACTCCTCCCCCCACCCCCACCCGTGTGGCTAGTTCCCAGAGAACAGCCTCATCCCTGTCCCTGGCCTCTTCCCCGCCTCCCACAGTCCAGCACCACGCGGTCCAAGGCCGATTAATGCCGAAGAAACATCTTCAAGGGCTCACTGTTTTCTCCTTTCCTCCTGGAAGAGCTGAGTTAAGTTTCGGGCATTTCATCCGGCCACTGAAAGTGCGGTCCCTGTTCCCCTACCTCCCGACCTCCCTGTTGGCCCTGCCCTGGTTTGATGCCAACTCTAGGATATCAGGGCTGCTGAGATTTGAGCCTGGCACCTGGGAAATAATCCGCGAAATCATGTTAGTGCTACCCTCAATTTTGAACCCTGATATTTTCCCCGAGAGGGTGAGCTCATGATCCCCTAGCCACTTCTCTGGGAGTTTTAACTCGAAACGAAATCAAGTGCCTGGGAAACATATCAAAGCCAGAGCTCCCTCTGATACTTCCTCCTGAGGGGAGACTCCAGCCAAGGCCCACGCCGCGGGGAATCCAGCGGAGTCAGGTGGGGAGGAGCTAAGGGAAGCCGCCGGGCCCGCTTTGAGAAGGCCACAGGTCGGCGATCCCCGTCGAACCCTCAACCTGGCTGTCTCCAAACCTTCCCTTGCGTTCCCCCCAATTTTCTCAGCATTCTCCCACCTCGTGGACTCACTGACCTGTGCCAGGAATGGCAGCCAGAGGAGGGGAGTTGGGGGTGGGGGGGGTGAAAACTGGGTGCCCACAGGAGTTCACTCCCTAACGGGGCTCCGCAGGGCTGCCAAGACCAAGGATGGCCGAGCCCAGACCCTCCGATCCCTCCTCTCCGCTGGAATTCGGACTCCACTCCTCCACCCGTCAGCGCACGGCCGCCTGCGTCCGCTGCCGAGTCGGAGCTGGCACCTCCGCGGCAGAGTCACCGCCCTCGTGTCGCCCCTGAGCGCTCCCACCGCAGGCCCGGCCTGCGCTTCCGTCGCCGCCGTGGCCTAAGGCGTTTCGCCGGGAGCCGCCGCGATTCCACGAATTTCCATCCCGCTCTCGGTGGCACGCCCACGAAGGTGGGCGCTAGGATGCTGGGGTTTCGGGTTTGATTTGGGATATATCCTACCATAAAACTAAAACTCTTGCCTCCCACCCCCACCCGAGACGGTGGGAAAATCCTCGCGAAAAGAAAACAGGTTGGAGCAGGGCATGAGCAATAGTAAAACGAAGGGTCTCCACGGAGAGAAAATTCCCACACACAAACTTCTCCAAGTGCTCGCGGAAAGTTCCTGGAGCCTCCGCCACCCGGCTCCTCCCCCGTCCCACGCCCGCGCCAGACGCCGGCGGGATCCACGTTGGGGTCGCTGCTCCCCGGGATTCCCGGGGCGTCCACCCTGCGGCCCCCTCCCCCGGCCAAGCCTCCCATTTCTAAAAAGAAATTCGCACCCGGACACCGAGGATGCGTTAACGTGGCTAATTCCAGGGTTAGGTTGTCTCAGATGCCGGGTAGCCTCGGCCCTGCCCAGCCCCCGCCAGCAGTGAGATGGTCTTTGAAGGCACGACTACGACGCACCCTCTCACCCTCTTCTGCCTCCCTCCCTGCGCTGCTCTGAGTGGGCAGCCTCCTGAGGTGCGGGCTGAAAAGGGGTCCCGGGCCGACTAAGGCCCAGGCGTTAGCCCGGGACCTAGGTCTGCTCCCGACCCAGTCTCGGCGCTGGGGCGAAGGCAGAGGTACCTAGGGGCGGGCAGCCGGGAGGGGCGAATGACCGGGTACTAACCCCTGCCTCCGGCTTCTCCCCCCCCATCCCCGCCGCCGCGCGGGCCGGAGGGGGCGGGAAGGGACTAGGAGCGCCGGGGTCCTGCCCCCGCCCCGTCCCGCCCCGCGCGCGGTATCCGCGGGGGTGGGCGGCCTCGCCGGTAAGGCTCCCCGGCGATTGGCGACTCGGGAAGGAGACGCAAGGAAAAGTCGAATAAGAGGGCGCGACGTCAGACCTGAGATTTGGGGAAGGGCGAGGGAGGGAGCGAGGGCGGGGACGGACACACAGACAGATACGGACACCTCTCCCCAACCCCCACCCCGCACAGCACCCTAAGTATGTGCAACTCTAGGCTGCCTCTGCCCGGGACGCAGAGGCCGGGGTGGGGTGGGGACAGTGTTGTTCTGTGAGAGGAGAGGGAGATGAGAAAGAGAGAGAGGAGAGAGCAAAGGGAACAGAAAGGGAAGGAAAAGCAACCGTGAGAGAAAGGGAAAGAAAAGAGAGAGTTTCCTAACGCCCAGAAGGGGTGAAGAGCCCGAAGGGGCGGAAGCGATCCTGGGGGGAAGAGGAGCGCGGAGGGGAGGGGAGAGGAAGGGCGAGGAGGGGGAGTGAGAACTAGAGGAGGGCGAAGGGAGCGTGGCGCGACACTGCTGGGGAGAGGAGGGCAGCGAGGAGCCCGGCGCGGGCAGAGGCGGCTCCGGCGGCAAGAGGAGGGAGCGCAGCGCAGAGAGGAGGGGCTTGCGGGCCCGTGGAAATGTCAATCAGAGCCCGGAGCCCCAGGAATCTTCGCCAATCTGTTCGGACCTGACCTGGCTCCTCGCCGCCGCCGCCGCCGCCGCCGCCGCCGCCGCCGCCGCGGAGCAGATCAATAGGTGAACGCGGAGCGCAGCGCAGCGCAGCGCGGGAGGGCAGCGCGGCCCCAGCCCGGCCCAGCCCCCGATGCGCGCCGGAGCCCGCGGGCGGCGCTGAGCAGGGCGGCCCTGGGGGCCGGGCCCCTCTCCGTCCGTGCCCCGCGGGCCACCATGTCCTTCCCCCAGCTCGGATACCAGTACATCCGCCCGCTCTACCCACCCGAGCGCCCGGGGGCCGCCGCCGGTGGCGGCAGCGCTGGGGCCCGGGGCGGCCCGGGAGCCGGAGCCTCGGAACTGGCCGCCTCGGGGTCCCTGTCCAATGTGCTCTCGTCTGTGTATGGGGCGCCCTACGCTGCGGCGGCCGCAGCGGCGGCCGCCGCCCAAGGCTACGGCGCCTTCCTGCCCTACGCAGCCGAGCTGCCCATCTTCCCGCAACTGGTAAGCGCCCCAGCCGGGGAAGGGAGCGGGGGTGCTGGAGCTGGGGCGCTGGACGAGGTGCGCGCGCGAGAGTAGACTAGTGGGGCCTGGGCGGGGAGGGTGGAGGCCGCCACGGCCAGGGCTCATCCGCGCTCCCTCTGCGCGTGTCCCTTCTTTCCCCATGTGCGTACAGGGCGCGCAGTATGAGCTGAAAGACAGCCCGGGGGTGCAGCATCCGGCCGCGGCAGCCGCGTTTCCGCACCCGCACCCCGCCTTCTACCCATATGGCCAGTACCAGTTCGGAGACCCGTCCCGTCCTAAGAACGCCACCCGGGAGAGCACCAGCACCCTCAAGGCCTGGCTCAACGAGCACCGCAAGAACCCCTACCCCACCAAGGGCGAGAAGATCATGCTGGCCATCATCACCAAGATGACCCTCACCCAGGTGTCCACCTGGTTCGCCAACGCGCGCCGGCGCCTCAAGAAAGAGAACAAGATGACTTGGGCGCCCCGCAGCCGCACCGACGAGGAGGGCAACGCTTACGGGAGCGAGCGTGAAGAAGAGGACGAAGATGACGACGAAGAAGACAGCAAACGCGAACTGGAGCTGGAGGAGGAGGAGCTCGGGGGGGAGGAGGAGGACGCGGGGGGCGAGGGCCTGGCGGACGACGAAGAGGACGAGGAGATCGATCTGGAGAACGTAGACGGCGCGGCCACGCCTGAGCTGGCCCTGGCTGGGGCGGCGCACAGGGACGACGACCTCGGCCTGGTACCCATTTCAGACTCCAAGAATAGCGACTCGGACGACAGCTCCGAGGGCTCGGAGGAGCGTCCTTTGCCGACCCTGACCCTGGCCCCAGTGCAGCCGCCGATGGCCGCGGCTCCGCCATCTCCGCCCTCGCCCCCCGCGGGCCTGGATCCCTGTGCTCCCGCTCCAGCGCCCGCCTCCGCCCTGCAGAAGCCCAAGATTTGGTCCCTGGCCGAGACGGCCACAAGCCCCGACAACCCGCGGCGCTCACCTCCGGGCGCGGGGGGCTCTCCCCCCGGGGCAGCCGTCGCGCCCCCAGCCCTGCAGCTCTCCCCGGCCGCGGCGCACAGACTCGTCTCGGCGCCGCTGGGCAAGTTCCCCGCTTGGACCAACCGGCCGTTCCCGGGCCCGCCGCCCGGTCCACGCCCGCACCCGCTCTCCCTGCTCGGCTCGGCCCCTCCACACCTGTTGGGACTTCCCGGAGCAGCGGGTCACCAGGCTGCCGCCGCCGCCGCTGCCTTCGCTCGGCCCGCAGAGCCCGAGGGCGGAACAGGTGACTGCTGAGCGCGACAGAGGGAAGGGGGTGGGTCTCTGGGGATCGCTCCTGGGCCGAGGAGGAGGACAGGACCCCAGGGCTCAGGGCCTTTACCACCGCGCCTGCCTCCCAGGGTCCTGGGTGCCGGAACAAAGCCCTCTAAAGGCCCTCCTTTTCCTCCCTCGCTTCCCTTAGACCGCTGTAGTGCCTTGGAAGTGGAGAAAAAGTTACTCAAGACAGCTTTCCAGCCCGTGCCCAGGCGGTAAGAGACTCGGAGGCGGGGGGATGGTGGGACAGGCAGGCGGGGGAAGAAAGGAAGGGCGCAAACGCGGGCTTTTTGCCCCCACTCCCCACCCCGGGAACGCAGCGGAGACGAGCTTTTAAAAGGGGCCGAAACACACTCCTCCGCCGTCTCTGAGCGCCCAGAGGCTGTGCGACAGCCCTATCACAATCCAAGGCTCGGGCGCGGTCCAGGGTCTGGTGCTGTGGGACCGAGCCACCGCGGCCCACCTCCTTCCTTCCGGAGCCCGACCTCGGGCCGAGCGCCCCTCCACTCTCTCAGTTAAACCTAAAGACCAACCTCTATAGCTGACACCACGTTCCGCTGTGACGCCTCCCTGACCCCTGGCCGCGGCCCCAGGCCGGGTTGCCCAGTCCCAGGCAGCGAGGCCGCCCCTGACTTCCTTGCCCTTTGCTATGGTTGCCTCTCTCTTCCAGGCCCCAGAACCACCTGGACGCTGCGCTGGTCTTGTCGGCTCTCTCCTCATCCTAGTTCTTTAAAAAAAAAAAAAAAAAAAATTTAAAACCATTGTAATAATTGTAAAAAAAAAATCGCTCTGTATAGTTATGACTTGTAAGCATGTCTGTGTATGAATACCTAAAAAAGAAAACTAAACAAAAAAAGAAATAAAAAGAAATAAAACAAGCCCCCCTGGGTCCTCCCCAAGTCGCTTCTGTACCCCACATTAGCTGAGTCTGTGAAATCGGTTTGTGAGGTTGATTTTGGGGGGTGGAGCTTCAATGAGAATAAGAGTGTCTGACTTGTTTGTATATACAGAAAAATGTACATATGTGTGAACCAAATTGTACAAGAAAGTATCTATTTTTGGCTAAATAAATGAGCTGTTGCCACTTTGACTACAACCCGCTTGTTGCCCCCAAGAGGGATCTGTTTGCTGTTTTCTGCTCTGTTTTGTTTCCCCCACCCTACCCCCATGTTCGAAGAGGCGCTGGAATCAGCAGAAACGGAGGAGAGACGGTCTCCGACCTGTGATCGGAGGGGAGCGAAGGCGGAGGCGCAGAGGTGGTGGGGCTGGGACCCCGCTGGAGAGGCCGCTGGAGGAGCACCTGGGGCTCCGCAGAGAGAGGGCAGAGGAGACAGGTGGGCAACCGGGGCGAGAGTCCCTGCAAGGAACCTCAGTGCGAAAGTGGGCAGCACCCGTGGTCCACGGCCGGTCGCACCCACAGGGTCTGGTGACGTGACAAAGCAGGAAGACCTCGGGAGACTCTGGGCGCAGAGCGGGGAGGTGGGAGGCCCTCGCCCTTCCCGCGCCTCCACCCTCAGGTCGGCACCGTTGAGGTTTGTTCGCTCTCGTACAAGGGGCCACGCAAGCTCTGCTCCGAGCCCCTTCCAACCGCGCTGCACCCCGACTCCTCGTAGAAGAAGAGGGCGGTGGTGAGGAGCGGGGACCTGGGGGCAGGGCAGCCTAGGGGCTCCCATCCTTTCCCCGCGGTTCTGGCCCAGCCCGAATTGGGAGCGGGGCCCGGGGCCTGGCGGCCTGTGCGCACCGGCGCCGAGGGGCCCGGAAGGGCCGCCCTCGGAGGTGCGGGCAGGATCCCCGCCGGCGGCCGCGGGACGGGGCGGGCGGCCGGGGAGGGAGCCGGGAAATTTGGGGCTAGAGCTCCCTCTACAGGACGGAAGGGCCACTCCGCACGGGGCACCGTGGCCTCTCCGGCTCCACCCGGCGTCGCACCCCCTCCGTCCCTCTCTCTCTCAGTCCTCCAGCCTCTAACTTTGACTTGGAGGGAACTCGGGAAGCGGGACGCGTTGGGGCACAAAGCGGGGACCCCTTTTGGCACCCCCGTCCCAGGCCTCGCAGGTCCGTAAGGCGGCCAGCTGCCAGACGGCTGCCTTGCACAGCGGGGCGCGCAACAACCTCGCGGGTCTCTGGGGAGGTTGGGAAGAGCTTGCACACCCGGAGCCACGAACACAGTCACACTGTGCACTTCGGAGGTGCACGGAGCAGGAGGGCGGGGGGAGGGCAGGGGGGGGGCGGGGAGCCCGGCAGGGCCTGGCCCAACGCAGGGCAGCTGCCCATGCCCGGTCCCCACCTTGGGCTGTGGCGGCTGGGGTGCGGCGCTGCCCCAGAGGCAAGTCAATGTGCAGCCTCTCGGGGTCACAGGGTGCTGGTGAAGCAGAGACAGGGACACCAGGACACCAGGCAGAGGTCAGAAACTGGAGCTCCCTGCCCCCAGCAGGTGGGGACCTCCCTGCCGCTCCCTCCTCTGCCCGCTCTCCCTTAACTTTCTTTTTTCTGGAGTTTCCGTCCGTCCCTGGCCGCAGGCGAAGACCGTGGTTCAGCTGTGGCCCTGGCACAGCCAGCACGTTCCAGACGTGGAGCCAGCTCCAGAGGCCTGGGCCCTGAACCCCGGAGGCCCGGCGTGGAACCTGCGCAGGGGCCGCCAGGGGCAGGGCAGCTTCGCCCCAGAGGCCCTGCGCCGGGTGCCTCCCAAGCATCGCTGGCAGACCCCCGCCTCACTTCCTGTGAAACCCCGAGCAGATAATTAACTCCTCTGTGTCCCATTTCCCCAGCTGCGCAATGGGAATAGGCGCCTTCCTACCTAGAAGGGCGTTCGTCAATGGGCGCTGGCACGTGGTAGGTGAGGGTGAATTGCCCCGGTCCTGCAATTATGTCGCAAACGCTCAGGCCCCACCCTCAACCTCCTGGCCGCATTCTGCCCCACCCCCTCCTGCCACCATAAAAGTGAGGCCTCTGCACGGAGGCCTCTCAAAGCCCAGCTCAGCCTGGGAAGAGGAAACTCCTCGGGCAGGGAGAACGGGATAGCAAAGCCAGGCGGCCTCTCCAGGCTGCTGGCCCACCAGGGGGAAGCGAGGGCCTCCGGGCGGAGGGAGGGGGTGGAGAGGCCTGGCAGAGCTTGGAGAGGCCCGAGCGCCTGTCCCTGGGCTCCCTCCCTTAAACACCCCGGGTTCCCTTGGCTCTTCAGCCCATCCCATTCCAGGGATAACAGTCCTCGGAGGACACCCACCCATCCCACTGAAAGGGCAGTGTGTGGGCGAGCCAGCCGAGAGGGGGGTACACCCAACAACAGCAGCTCTCCTGTTCGCACGTGGGCCCCTCACCCGCCCCCAGGTGACCCCAATAAGCAGAGTAAACAAGGAAAAAGCCCCGCCTGGGCTCTTCGGCTAAGAAATGGAAGAGGAGACAGCTCCCCGTTGCTGCACTTGCATTTCCCCAGGAAACAGGTTGTTCCTCTCCTCCCCAACCTCCCCCGAGTCCTCCCCTCATCTCCCTCCTCTCCAGGATCCTAGGAGCTGCCTCTACCATTTATTGTCCAGCCCTAAATTTCAAAAGGAGAAAGGAAGCTAGGGGAGAGAGAGGAGGAAAGAAAGGAAGCCAGAGAGGAAGAGACAGAGAAGATGTGGGAATCTCATCCTGGGTCCTGATTAAGCTTCAATTAGAAATAAAATGTGTCAATCACTCTGCCTGGAAGGGGCTCCTGCTGTCGGGGCTGGTTATGCAAAGCACTCCAAGGTGTGTGGGGATAATCAATTAGGTCAGAGGAAAGAGCGAGTGTCACCGCTCCCCTCATTATCTGCATGGAGCTGGGGGTGGGGGCGCCGCCAGGCCAGGGAAGAGAATTATCTCCCTAAGCGGTGGCCCACCTCTGGGACTGGCACTTCCCCGGTTTCCAATTGAATTTGCTTTCAGTGGAACACAGGGAGGAGGACATGGGGCCCAGTCTGGAGGCAACACAGACACACTAGTGCAGGAGAGGCTACGGGACGGGAAGGGATCCTCCAGCTGCTCACCTGCCCCAGGTGAGGAGTGAGGCGAGGGCAGGCCTCAGCTGCTGAGCTGGGGATCTCCAGGTGCACAGTTGGGGCGACGGGTCCACTGTCTTAGGCCTCAGTTCTGGAAAGTTAGAGAGAGGGACTGGGTGCCAGATGTCTTTACTTGTTTGTTGGGAGATTTTGTCAGGAACTCGCTTTTGGCCTAGTTATTTGTATCCGTCTAGAAATGTCCTCTGAATGCTATCATTCCTGGTTGCATGTACCCTCTGCCTCCATCAAACGCAAATGGGCAATTAACTGCAGGTGTGTAGAATTGTGTCTGTGGTTAGAGGTATCGCCAACTTGCGTGGAGGCAAGTCTCGTCCTCTCTCTGGGCCCCACGTGTACCACCTGCAACATGGAGGGGACTGGATTAGAAGAATTTATCCAAATTTTCTTACATATCCACTGTTGTCTAGAGTTAGGCATAAATGAAAAGGTGGGGGCCTTAGGATAATTAGGGGAGTGATGGGGACCCAACACCTCTGCAGATACCACCTCCTGATCCTGGCGGACGGCTGTCACCTGATCCAGCCAACCAAGCTGACCACATTAAATATGTCCATCTATCGTGTGACCAACGTAGCTTTGACACAGTCACCTCCCGCTGGAACGCTCCAGGCCCTGCAAAGGCCATCCTGATTGTCTGGATAGAAAAGCCCACGAGGCCTGTCTTCCGGAGGGGGCAGGCAGTGCGTACTCAAATGAGAGACCTGGTTGAAGTCCTAAGAGTACTTCTCAACCAGGCGACCCCCCTTGCAGGACAGCAATGGCGGGGAAAGTGTCAATCGTCAGGACTGGCTGGGAGTGTCCCTGGCGTCTAACCCGTGGAGAGCAGGGATAAAGGCCCTACAAGGCACACCAGCCCTGCACACACACGGTGCTCCAGTGCAAGCGTCTGCAGGGTCAAGGCCGGGAAAGCACTGCGTCGAGGGCGGTGTCCGGGCAACCACCAGGAAACCAGGTAGTCTCTCCCAGGAACCCCAGCTCTTCACAGAGAGACAGGAAGGCAGGGTGCTACCTGAGGTGTTTTTTGTTCTTTAAGAGCTCCTGTCCCTGGAAGGGGGAAGTAGGGGTGAGAGAGTGCAAAGAGGAGGCCATGCCAGCCTGGGAAAGAGTAAGTGGGTTTCAGCTCTGCTTGGTGCCCTGAGCCTGGGAGGCGGGACCATCCCAGGCGGGACAGAGTCAGCCCTGAAGAGGATGTGCCAGGAAAGCTGGGGCCTTCCTCTCTGGATATTATAACAGGAGCAGGTCACAGGGAGGCTCTCACAGATGAAAGCTTAACTGCTGTGGTTTTGCCTCAGCAGTTGCCACCTCTTAACTGCTGCCAGCCCCTCTGTGCGCATAAATATGTCTATTTACTTACTTGCTTATGTTGCCCCAGAGTGTGTGTCTGTGTGTGCCTGTCTTGATATGTTTGTGTATGTGTGTCTCTGTGTGCCTGTGTCTCTGTGCCTGTGTGCCTATGTATGCCTGTGTTAGTGTATGTCTCTGTATCTCTGTGCGTTTTTGTGCCTGGCTTTGTGTCTGTCTGTGTGCATGTGTGTCCTGTCTGTGCACACATGTGTGTGCATGTGAGCCTCCCTGTGTTTGTGTGTGCACGTGTACCTGTGTGTGTCTCTGTGTCTGGGTGTCTGGGAGGCGTCGGGGTGCAGAATGGGGACAAAGGCAGGGTACGGCCTTACTCTGGGCCCAGCAGCGTCCGGGGCTGGAAGGCTATGATGTTGCAGCTTTTGTGCAGGGTGGCGAGCCCTGCATTCTCTCACTGCGCAGGCCGCTAACAAGTGGGCCTGCGGCCCTCCGGGGCCTTTGGAGTGCACTCATCTGAGAGATTGTGCTTTTCTCAGCCGCTCAGATTTATTTTGCCAAAGTTACAGGGCAATTATGGAAATGCGCCCTTTGAAGCTGGGCTGATTTCTCTTTATTTTCTTCTCCCTGACAAAGCAGAGCTTCCCTGCCTCTTGTGAGCTTTTTCTTTGCTGCCTCCCCCCACCTCTCTCCCTTTCCCTTTCCTCTTGCTTTTTTCCTGATAATTATTAGATAG